CATTACTTACCCTTATGGTTGGTACTAAGAGTAAGTGTGTTACTTAGCTTTGTGGATAGTACTAAGCCAAATTTCATTCATTACCCATAATGGTTCTTACTAATAGTAGGTGCGTTTGGTAGCCATGTGGTTGGTACTAAGAGTAAGTGCGTTACATTCCCATCTGGTTTGTACTAAGCGTAACCATGTTACTCACCCATATGGTTGAAACTAAAAGTATATACGTTACTTATTCATGTGGTTGGTACTAAGAGAGAGTGCTTTACTAAGCGATGTGGTTAGTACTAAGAGTTATTACATTACTTACCCGTATGGTTGAACAAAGAGTAAATGCATTTATTATTTAGTGGTTGGTATTAAGAGCAAGTGCGTAACTTACCCATGTGGTTGGTATTAAGTGAGTTCGTTTTATACCCATGTGGTTGGTACTAAGTGAATGTGTTACTAACCCATGTGGTTGGAACTAAGAATATTTGCATTACTTACCCATATGGTTGGTATTTGGAGTAAGTTCGTTACTTACCCATGTGATTGGAACTAAGAGAAAGTGCGTTCCTTAGCGATGTGGTTAGTACAGGGAGTAATTGTGTTACTTATACAAATGGTTGGTACGAAGAGTAACTGCATTTCTTACTCATATGGTTGGTACTAAGACCACGACCACTCGGCCCAACATCGCCTTCGCTTGCAGCAAGCTGGGGTACGGCCTGACGGCGAGGAGCGACCAGCATAGGCGCGAGGTCGACCGCTGCCTCACCTACATTACAGATACGCTTGACGCCGCCTTGGAGTACGGCGGCGGACCTGAGCCGCTGTGTCTGGTTGGCTACGCGTACGGCGACGACTCCAGCGACAAACAGACGCGCAGTAGCACGAACAGCTGCGTCTTTGTCTTCAGCGGCGCTGCTATCTCCTGGACGATAATGCGCATCAAGTGCGTGAATCTGTCGTCGATGGAGTCGGAGTACATCGCGGCCACCAAAGCCGGCAACGAGGCTCGCCGCCTTCGCTTCCTCGCCAAGTTCCAACTGCTCGATGCTGGGGCCTCGACTGTCCTATATGTGGATATCCAGTTGGCCATCGTGGTCGCTGAAGGCTTGGGGCTCAATGGCAACCTCAAGCACATGGAGCAATGTTACGTCTGGCTGCAGCAGATCGTGAAGCGCAAGAAGATCGCGATGCAATGCATCTCAACCACCAAGCAGCCGGCTGACTTCCTCACAAAGGCGCTGCACTCTGGCCTTCAAACGATGCTCCGTCGCAATCGGCCAAGCCCGTCTGGCCGACGTCGGCGATGACGACGACGACGTGCAGCGAGCAAAAATATCCATCAGCACTATAGCCAACATCGGCATACATGACATAAATACGAGCCTCATCCATGGCCATATTAGATACAGGAATCTTACCAGCAAGCAGAATCGCCGTGCCTCAATGCCATGTCGCTGTTGGTACAGGTCGTTGAGGCGGTGGAAGCAGTGAGCTGCAAAGTGGTCGGGGCGTCCGCAGACAGCGGGACTGACCGGACCCGTCCGAATCCAGCAGTCGCAGGGGCCAACGTTGCGGCCAGTGGGACGAGGCCCCCAGCTGGCGGGGCCGTTGCTGTGACCAGCACTCCCCGGACCACCGGGTCCTCACTGTTGCGGAGGGCCCCAATGCTGCGGAGGATCCCACTGCTGGAATTGCTGATGTGACTTCCGCTGCACCTGCTGCTGCGGCTGTCCCTGCTACTGCGGCTGTCCCTTCTGTGGCTGCTACTGCTGTGACTGCTGCTACTGTTGGTGCTGTGCTCCCTCCCCACCACCAGGGCCAGTACCACCTCCTGTGCCGCCTCCTCCAGGCACACTAGTACCGCCACCACCTCCGCCACCCCCACCTCCGCCACCGCCGCCACCACCGCCACCACCACCACCACCCTTCCCCCCTCTCTTACCTCCCTTGCCTCGTTTCTGTCCACCAGTGGCAAAAACAGCTGCAATCTCCTCATAAAAAGACAACGCAGTAGTGGTAAGAGATTTTCTATTTCTGAGGCAGTGAAGGTGTGAAGATGCAGCACATCACATCCCTTGAAGAGGCGGGGAACTACTGCGGCAGTAGCAGACGCAACAGCGAGGACGTTACTTTTTATCTTCGTGAGAGTGGTCTCAAGAAGGTCGATCGTAAGCTCACTGGGTGCTTCTGAAGAAGCACGTCGCGGGCAGAGGAGAGACGGCCAGGAAGGCAAGTGACTAACTAGTAAAAGGTGAGACACATGGGCGGGGGGGAGAGGAGAAGCTAGGCGTCGATGCATGCTGCACGGTAGCGAGTGTCGAGGGAACGCGGGTGAGTGACAAGGTCAGAGACAGTTTCAAACGACCCAAGGTCAGGGAACAAAAATGGCATGAGGAGGCGGCTGAGGGAGGCAGAGGAAGGGGTGGAATAGCGAGCAATAATAGCGCCATAGCACCCCTTCGCATACTCGATCTGGGAGAAGTGGGCGCCCATTGTCGGCGGGAGAATGTCCGTCAGTGCGAGGCTGGCTGCAGCCTCACGAGATTCCCATACGTCACGCGCCAAAAACAGCCTGTCGTACTCCTCCTGCGCCTCGGGAGCGAGAGGGTGCTCAGTAGACAGGGGATTTTCATGGAGGGGCCTGGAGAGCGCCAGACGTGTGAGCGTACAAAGTAGCGCCGTCTTGACGCTGGTTCGTGAGATGACGTTGGGCCTGGCGCAGCCAAGTTCTAAAGTCTATTGCACGGCCCTCTGCGTCGAAGCGTGACAGTCGAGATGACACCATAGTAAGTGCTAGGAGCGACTAGAGCTAGGAGTGGCTGAAGTGAGAAGCGAACGGAGCTAGGAACGCCAGTCTAGGAATGGCCGGAACGAGGAGCGAGCGGAGCTAGGAAAGCCAGTCTAGGAACGCCTATCAAGTCACGGCACGAACCCTAATTCGCGCCAGCAGAAGGGACTGCGGCTGCCAGCCGCCGCTAGAGATGCCTATGGCGCGAGGGCGACGGGCACGGTTGGGGTGTAGGCGTGCTAGTTAAGTGCTGCGTGCTACTGAACTGTGAGAAGCTGGGAGTGACTAAGGGCGGCTGTGGGCGGCTAAAGGCTGCCGTGGGCGGCTGTAATGGCAGTTACAGGTAGTAGGGGCGGCTATGAGCTGCTATAATGGCAGTTACAAGTAGTAGGGGCGGCTGGGAGCGGCTAAGGGCGGCTGCGGACGGCTCGGAGTGGCTGTGAGTGACTAGGAGCTGGTTATGGGCGGTAGTAGGTAGTGATAAGCGGCTGGGAGAGGCTGCGGGTGGCTGGGAGGGGCTGTGGGCGGCTGGGAGGGGCTGTGGACGGTTGGGAGGGGGGGGGGGGGGGGGGGGGGGGGGGCTGTGGCTGGCTGTTGCTAACTCTGCTGCTGCTGGCGGCTAGCTTTAGCTGCTGGCAGTTGGCCGTAGAGGGTGCCTACATGTGCAGTGCGCACAGCAGTGGCGGTGCGCGCTGCAGCGCGCGCTGTTGCAGTTCGTACTGGTGTGGTGCGCACTGCTGCTATGACGAGCGCTGCTGCAGTGGCGCGCGCTGCTACGGTGCACGCTACAGTAGCGCGCGCTAGTGCTGCGCGTGCTGCTGGCTGTTCGTGGCGCGCGCGTTGCTGCGTACGTGCGGCGGCTGCGTGTGTGCGTCGCTGTTAGTGCGTGCGCGCGGCTGCTTTTAGTACGTTGTGTGCAGCTGCTGCTAGTGCGTCGCGCGCTGGTGCTGCTTGTGGATGGCGCGTGGGCAGCTAGCTGGCTGGAAAAGCAGGCACGTTGCCTGAGAGGGAGGGGGAGGACTCGCTGCTGTAGGCTGGCTGGACGAAGTCTAGGAGCTAATTGTCTAAAATGGCCTAAGAACTTAGTCTCTAATACCATGTGAAGAGTAGGCTAGCGAAATTGTCGAGACAAGTAAGGGATAGGGTACAAATAGAGTGTCGAGAGAATTATGTACCCTATACTGAGAACCTCACTATAGCCTAGCAACCTATCAAATATACAATTGATATTTGGAGAGTCAACCCAACTCACCAGTGCAATAATGAGCTCAGAAGACTAGATCCAGGTGCTTTATACTAAGAAAGCTAGAAAGCCCCATCAGCGGTGCCCAAAAATATTCCCAGCAGCCGGACGCCCTCTTGACGGAACTCTACCCCTGGCGGCAACCTCGTCAAGCCGTCAGTCTGGGATCGACTCTACGCTGCACACTCCACGCTGCCGTGCATACAGATCTTCCGCGCTTCGCTAGTCCCTCGCCCCTGCTGATAACGCCAGTCTCATCTGGACGATGACGAGGTGGTGGGGGGGTGTTGACTACTTCCGTGGCGTCAGCGTAGAGCCGCTCCCATTCGCCACGCTGGAAATATCGAAGCCGGGCCTTGATTTGTGGCCAATCGGGGCGTTGCATCGATGTTTGGCGAAGTGTAAGATGCGGGAGGAAAAGTAACAGTCGCCAGCCCGCGATGGAGTTTGGATGTCGGGAAAGGTGGAGTAGTGGTGTCAGCAGGGCCAGCAAAAATAGCTGACACAGATTTGGCGGTAATCGCTGTGACAAAAGGGGTTGGCGACTATCGTACAGAAGCGTGGTATCCCAGTTTGTGATAGCAGCGAACCTGTGAGCGTGAGTCGCCAGCTCTTATGGCGAAAAATAGCGGGGGTTTGGGGGGTTTGGCGATGCGTTGGGTAAGCGACGTGCGGCCCAATTTGTTCGGGTGCGGCTCGATGTTGCTTGGGTCAGCAAAGTTGGAATTATAAACGTACGATCATCATCGCTCGGCTCACCTCCGTCCCCTGGCCGTTCCCAGCTGCTGGGCCCCATTGTTTCTTCTCTCGTCTCCGTCCCTCTCCCCCTCCTCTTCGTCGCTCTCGCTGCTGCTAATATTGGCTTGCGGCTCTTCTCTATAAGTAGGGTCCGCTTTCTCCTCTTCCTTATCACTGTCTCCATTATTGATTAAAGCCCTTCGCCATGCCGTCTGGTAGCCATTCTCGGGGCCTCCGCCTCTATCGCTCTGAGCCCGTCTCCCACGTCCCCTGCTCCTCCCGTTCTGCGATAGTGATCGCTAGTGCGCCTGAGTTGACGCCGCCGCCAAAGCACGCTGCTGTTGCGTCGGCGGCGAGCGGAAGATCGCCGGCTGAGCCAGCATCGGCGCCCGTGGCGATGAAGCCGCCTGTGCCGCCAGTCCCAAGGACTGCGCCGGAGATCGTGGAGGCCCCTGCTCCCTCGAAGCCCTCGCCTGCGGAGTCCCAGCCTGATGCCGCTGCACTCCATGCTCTCCCGAAGTCCCCGCCTGCGAAGTCCCTGCCGGCTGCCGCTGCTCCCCCTGCCCCTGTTCTTCCGGAGCTCCCGGCTGTGGTTGCCGTGCCTCCAGCCGTTGTTGTGCCAGCTGCACCTCCAGTCTCTGTGGCCCCCTCTGCGCCGATCCGTGCTAGCGTCTCTGCACAGCCGGAGGCGTTCGCCACCATTGGTGACCCGTCCCCGGCGATGGTGGCGGTCGCTGCGACCCCGTTACCGCAGACGGCGCCTCAACTTGCTTCGGCGGCGGGACATTTTCCCGGTCCAGGGCATCGTCCACAATCCCCAAATCGTCGTTCCTCTCGTCCGCACTCCCCCGTGCCGCGCGATGAGCGTGAATTCTCGCGTCGCCGGCGTGATTCGCCTCGGCATCATCATTCATAGACGAACTGGCCTGCCCACCGCGGCGGTCATGGTGGTTGGAGGGGAGGTCGCGGTCGTGGTGGCGGCGGGGCGTATGTTCAGCCGTTAACTGTCACTGATGTGCAGCGTATTGTCTCGGCTGCACTGCGTACTTCGTGAGGAGAGAGCTGAGCATGCGAGTCAGAGCAGCTCACTGCAGGCCGCAACATCGTCTGTGGCTCCTCCTCCGGCCGTACCTCCAGTGTATGCACTGCCGGCAGCTGCTCCTCCTCCTCCTACTCCCGTTGCATCGGCTCCCGCGCTCGGTTCCCGTCCCGCCCGTGGCGGGCATGGAGTTTTTGGCAGCGGGAGGAGGAGCGGTGAGGGCGCAGTACCCTCCTCTCGTCGCTGCTGGCCTTGCTCCCCATACTGCTGAGGAGCCACACCCATTTCTGGCGGAGGCGCTTCCCCCCCGCAAACCCGCGTTCCTGAGGCGACTCTCGGCCAGTTATTCCGACTTGCCGAGAGTTTTCGCGCACTGTTGTTGATTCAGGTTCTGGCCCGCGCGTCACTCCCGGCGATTCCTCCTGACACCCTTCTGGACGGGCCGCGTGAGAGCTGCTTGGACGCGGCCGACCAGCTTGCCCAGTTGCTGGCGCCCGTGTTGGCTGCGCCCGTAGAGGGCGGAGTTGCGGCTGTGGGGCAGCTTGACGAAGCCGTCCGGGGCTTAAGACGCTACTTGCGCACAGGCTCTGGAGCCACCGCGATCGGTGGTTTGGGAGCTGTGGCGGACGTTGACGGGCATCCTTCATGCCCTTGGAGCTCATCGGATGTAGATCCGGGCTCCGCTTGCCCCATTGTTGCCATGCTTGCTTAGGCCGATGTTGATGTTGCCATTGCTTGTATGCCATTGCCTATAATCACTTGGTTGTCTTATCCCTTGCCACCCCAAATCGCGAAAACAAATCTGCCGAGGTGGTTCGGTAGCCGGGGGTCAGTGATTTCCGTGTGTGCCGAGCAGTCACACTTTGCGGGCGTGGAGAAGGGCAGGCCCAGGTGGAAGCGGACGGCGTTTGCAAAATGTCCTTGAGCGACGCGGCGGGTGGGTTCATAGGGGATAGCGGTCAACCGGTCGCCTGTGCTGTAGCCGGTTAGAGAAAACATGCGCTGGGTATGTCCGGATAACAGGTTGAGACGCATGCGACGTGTCTCTTGCACCTGCCTGGCATATCTACTCCCTTGGACTTTCACAGCGAGGGCGTGCTGCAGTTTCACTCCTCTCGGCTCTAATTGCCCCTTCTCTAGAATCTCCCGCGCGTCCTCCGGTAGGGAACGTTTACAATCCGCGAGCCATGCGTGGAGGGGCGTACTTGGATCTCGCGGCAGGAGCATATAGTCTATGGCGCTCGTCTGGATTGCGTCCGGCGGTAATGACAGGGAGGAGAGGAGGAGAGCGGCTTGGGTAAAGCTAGCTAGAAATCCGGAAACACCCTCCACTGTTGGGTCCGTGAGGCCTATTCCGCCAAGAGAGGGTGGCATTGATGATTGTTCCCACACACGTGTCTGCTCGTCAGTGTCCGAGGGAGAGCGAAAGTCGCAGGCGGCTAGAAGGGTGGCTAGGAGGTCCCGTCCCCATTGGGACCAGGTGTTGTGTGGTAAGAGGTTAAGAGGGGTGGTCCGGGTGAGATACGCCACGCGGCGTGATATGCAGCGAGTAAGTAGCAATGAGGAAACTTGAGCGTCGACGCGTTTTAGTAATTGCAGCGGCTTTGCCATCGCGTTGAGCTGGTCTGTCAAGAAACTTGCCGCGCCATCCTTAGTGCCAAGGTAGCTGCCTAGCAGTCGTTTGCCGTCAGTAGTGAAGGGAACCCCCTGAAGCAGTTGCACCGTGCAGTAGGCTCCGTTCCGGCTCCAGGCTGCGCACTTCCCTGGGTTGTGGCGGAGGCCTAGGTGAGCTAACTGGGTGGTAAAATGATTGAAAGTGGCCACTGTAGCGGTGGCGTCTCCTATGAAAGTGACGTCGTCGGCATACGCTAAATAAAACACGTCCGGGTGTGTCGCCGCTGTTGCCCGCAGAGCCGGGTGTATTCCTGCAGCGAATAGGAACGGGCCATGCGGGTCGCCCTGCCGGACACCTCGCTCACTACTTAGTGGGGCGCTGTTGAAGCTATTATCGAGGTATAGGAGCGACGGCTGTCCGTAGGTAAGTTTGACTAGTTTCAGTAGCGGCTTCAAACTGTCGTCGTCTAGTGCTGCTACTATCGACTGCCTTGAAATGCTGTTGAACGCATTGGATATGTCTGTCTGTAGTAAAAGGCTGTTCGGGCGTCCGTCAGTGAAAGCTCTCGCCGCGTGGATTATCGCTTCCGCCCCCCCAGGTACCGCCACGCCAAATTGCAAGGGCAGGAAATATGCCCTCGCTGCGTCTCCCATCACTGTCAGGGCCGCCTTTGCTGCCAGGCGGGTCAAAAATTTGCCGATCGCGATTGGTCGAGCTCCACCCTCGGGCTTGGCCAATGCTATCAGGCGGGAGGCAGTCAGCAGGTCTGCTACAGATTGTGGCAGTTTGCCCCCCAGTACGGTGTTGATCAAGGCATGCAGTTGGGTACAAACTGCTGCATTGGAAATTGCCGAGTCGCGAAGATGCTCAAATGCTGTGCCCGATGGCCCGGCACCCACCCCGCTCTCGCATCGGCTCAGCAGCTTGTGAAAATCAGCGTATGGGATTGACAAATTCTGCGACTCGCTGTTATCAGGCCACGTCAGCGGTTCGTCGCCAGCAGGTGGGTGTTTTCGGCGTAGCTCATCCAGAATCGCTGGACTTGGCGTGCATACGGGTGTTGACTCAAGTGCCAGGACAGCGCGGCGCAGACTTCCGTGTTTGGCCAATCCCTCTGCTCTGCTGATGACACCGGTGTCATCAGGTTGGTGTCATGGTTGGGGGGGGGGGGGGGGTTGTTGACTGCTTTGCTGGCTTCAGTGTACAATTGCTCCCATTCGCGGCGTTGGAATGCGCGAAGCCGCGCTTTGATTTTCACCCAGTCTGGGCGTTTGGGCGAGGTCTGGCGAAGCGTGAGGCGCGGGAGAAAAGGTAACAGTCGCCAGCCTGCGAGTGAATCAGGGCTTCGCGTGAGGTGTAGAAGAGGTGTCAGCACGCACAGCGAAAACAGCTGACACAGGTTTGGCAGTAACCTGCAAGCCACGGAAGGTTGGCGACTGTCGCAGAGAGTGGGTATATCCCAGTCCGCGAGCGCTGCGAACCGTTCTTTGTGCGTCGCCAACTCCTCCGGCAAGTAATAGCATTGATTTGGGACCTGGGGCGCTGCGCTGAATTGACGCCTCGTGGTCCTGGTTGCACGACCGCGGCCCGAAAATGGAACTGGGGTATTGGTTGGAATTTCAGCCGCACGATCAACATCGTGCGGCCTTCCCCCATTCCTCCGAGTTACCCCAACACCCCGCTGCTCCCTTCGACCTTCACTCACGCCTTCTCCCGTGTCCCGATTGCCATCTTCCTCCTCGTTACTGCTACTAAGAGCTTCTGGCTCCTCTGCATTAGTAGGGTCATTTTGCTCCTCAGCGTCAGCAATCACATCCATAGCGGTTAAAGCCTGACGTCCAGCGATCTGAAACGCGTTCTCCGGTCCTCCACCAGCTCCGCTTGCTCCCTGTCGCCCAGCGCCCCTACGCCCTCGTCCTCGAGATGGTGATTGCCGGCGCTCCTGAGCCGTCGCCAACGCGCGCTGCCATTGTGTCAGCGGTGAGCGGAGTCGCCGCCTGCGGCTGTCTCGGTGACTGCCGCGACGAAGCCGCCAGTCCCCCCTGCCCCAAAGGCTGCGCTATCTCTCTCTCTCTCTCTCTCTCTCTCTCTCTCTCTCTCTCTCTCTCTCTCCCTCTCTCTCTCTCTCTCTCTCTCTCTCTCTCTCTCTCTCTCTCTCTCTCTCTCTCAAGCGGTCCTTCATTGATGTATAGGCAGGTACATGCATGGTGATAGCTATTCCTCGGCCAGTAAGTAACCCTAGGAAACAAGCAGCTAACTTAGCAAGCATCAGACCCGTGGCCTAGGTCCTAGACAAGCAACCAAGCACTCCTACACCCGCTTGTGAGTGGCAGCAGCCTAACCTGGCAGAAGCCGGCTACTCGTGCCTCCCTCCCTCCCGGTCACCCTCTACTCACCCCAGCTCCAGTCCTGGGCGAACCCATCCTCCAGGACCTGCCACAGGTCCCCCAGACGTGGTTCCCACGGGTCCGAGGGGCCTGGTGGCCATGCTGCCTCTGCCGCCCTGTTCGACTTGGCGAGCAGGGCATTGGCTTGGCAGCGCTGGAGGAGAACCGACCACCGCTGTCCATAGTGGGCAGTGAGCTTCGAGGCCACTGTTGTTGTCCTCCCCTGCCTGAACTTCTTCTTGGCCCCAGATGTGCCCAGGAGCCTGAAGAACTTCTGGGTGTCCCTTGCCATGGCCCCGTACGTCTCTACCGCCATGCCAAAGCAGCCCACCCAACCTGGCCTCCCCGTGTACATGCCATGCTTGGTTCTCGCCGCCTCCTCCGCGGCCCATCCTGGCGGCTTTACTGCCCGCTTGTCCCTTCGTTGCAGCACAGGGTCAGTCACCGTCACGTCTACTACTGAGGTTTCTCCCGATTCCTTGTCACGAATCATCAAATCCGCCCGTTTTTGGTTGGTTATGGGGCTGAATATGGCCGATTCGTGCAAGGTAAGGAAATCCGCCTCCCTCGCCATTCGGAGGGCTGAGTAGACCAGCGCATTGTGCGTTGTCGTGCGATCTCCCCCTTCCGCGCATCTCAGCAGGTGGTTCGGAAGGCTTCTGTCCCCAATCTTCGCCCTCCTCCCCCGGCACGGGCAGCTGTCTGTCACCGCCAGTATGAGACCGAGGCGGAGGCCTATCGCCAGCGCAAACTGGCCCGGGGAGAAGGTGAGGTCTGCCCGCGTTGGAATGGCGTGCAGCCAGTCACCCGCCCCCGTCCCTTGCAGGCTCAGCAGGCGGAGTACATGGCCATTGTCCGCCCCTGGCTTGTCCGTCCGCGTGTCCCCAAGCAGTTCCGCCGCCCGCTCCGTGTTGATGTGCCGTGACAGTAGCAGCTGCAGGTGCCCCTTCCCATCATTCCTCTCCAGATACGCCCGCAAGGCTACCTTGGCCGCCTCTGGTAAGCGGGACCACATGTCCCCGCGGATATCCTCCCCGTTGGCCCCCTGTCCCCCTGGCTCTGGTGCTACCAGCCGTGCTGCCCTAATCATGGGGTTGTCCGGAGCCAGTGGTAGCTGCTGCAGGAGCGCGTAGGCCGCCGTCAGGGACGCCAGGTACGCCGCTGGAGCTTCCGAGAGGGGGTCTATCAGACCTAGCCCTCCCAGGGCCACTGGAAGAGTCGCCTGGCGCCACAGTAGGCTCTGTTCCAATTCGTCCGCCGGCCAATAAAGTTGCGCTGCTCTG